GGGGGGCGGAGCCCCGCGAACCGAAAGTGAAAGGCGGGAGGGCTGTGAGGGCTCGGGCTGCGCGTGGGGATTGTGGCGGCCGGGGCGCTGAGGGGCGGCTGTGCCCGGGGAGCCCCAGGGTGTTTCGGGGTGTCGGTAGCTCCCTGGAGCGCAGCGCCAATTCTCACACCACGGGGCGCTGTTTCCGTATTTTAATCTGGTTTGCACAAAGCAGGGAGCTCTGGTTACCCACCAAAACCACCTTGGTCATCAGAAGTTTACACTATTAGTACACTTGAACAGAGGCGTCAGCCCTCGTTGGTCACAAACGCTATAATTTTTGTGTTGATTAGGACTCAGACCCCGCTTTGCTGGTTGTCTCACGCTGGTCGGCTCTCAGGGGTGATTGTCCCTGCACTGGGCTCTGGGCCCGTTCATTTGCAGTGGGTGCTCACTGAGTTGGTGATCACGATCTTCCAGAGCTGGAATTCCCTCTCCCCAGGGAAAAGTTTGGGCTCAGTCCTGCCCAAACAGGCCGTTCCTTTTGGGGCTGTCTTCCCTTTCCTTTAAAAGGTCAGCCAAGCACACAGCATTTCCATTGCAATTGCTGCCTACCCCGCTGGAGACCCCCGAGACAAGGTGTGATCCCTGGGCCTGTTCTGTTCCGCCTGCTGAAGTTGCCTCTGCATCCCTGGGCTGGGCAACAGCTGGAAGAGGTTTGTGTCTGCTGTGGGGGTGACAAGTGTCCTGCAGTGGGGTTAAATGAGATCTGGGTCTGCTGTGGGGGTGACAAGTGTCCTGCAGTGGGGTTAAATGAGATCTGGGTCTGCTGTGGGGGTGACAAGTGTCCTGCAGTGGGGTTAAATGAGATCTGTGTCTGCTGTGGGGGTGACGGGTGTCCTGCAGTGGGGTTAAATGGAGGTTGGATACAGCAGCTGGAGAACATACCTGTTTTTCTAATCTTGATTTTTGGAATCTGAATTTTCAACTCACCACCTGTGGCCACCATGATGTTGTGCACCCGTGTGACTTCAAAAATTGATTAATATTCTCTCATGATTATTATTTTAATTCACAGAAGTCTATGGTCATAATTTCATGTAGAAATTATTTCTGTAGTTTAAGAGAGGAATCATTTGTCAGGCTGTAGCAAGACCACTTAGATCAGTTTGATGTAGTCTCCATTCAGGAAATATATCTTTACTCACCTTGCTATGCTAAAAAATGTTCTGTTTTAACATTTCTGGGATTATTGATCTATTATTTCCTGACTTTTCATCTTTTCCCTTGAGGACACGTTGCCATTTTCAGTGTCTTGACTTCAGTAATGTGACTCTGTCCTTCTTAAGCTTGGATGCTGATTTGCCCCCCAGAGTGTCCCTGTGCCTTCTGACAAAGATAAAATCCAAATACAAGTGACTGAAGCACAGTGTTGCTTCCTCAGCAGTTGCTCGATCATGGCTAGTTCCAGAGTTGTAAAATAAAAAGCACAGAAGCACACCCAAATATGTGTGTGTGTGTTCTTTACTAAAAGTTCTGGATAAGATCAGTGTACTAAAGATTGAAGCAGAAGAGACGACTACAAAAATACAGGGTTGTTGTTATGTAGCAAGAAGTTGCATGTCCAGTTTTCTTTCTGATTTTACTCATGTAATAAAGCAAGTGCCTGTGTTAAACCTGGGTTTCAGCACTGGTATTAGAATTATGCAAGGGTTTAGGATAATATCTGAATTTCTCAAGAGCAACATCACAACCAGCTTTGTTGAGATTTATCCAAGATCTGCAATATTTTCAAGAAACAAAAACATGTTCTTACTGTATCATTACAAGGAGTTTCAACACTTGCAGTAGTAGCACTGGTAGCTATTGGAGTAGCTTCAGAGCTGCAAACTTCTCTCTGTAGTGTTTTATAGCTAATTTTTTTCTTTCTAGTGCTGTCTGTTTGGATTTATAAGCTTCCCCTCCCCCCAGCTTTGTTGGATATCACTCAGTTAAAAAGATTAACAAGAGCAGAAAATGCTAAACTACTCCTTCAAGTGATGGTGGTAAGATACCACAGAAGGCAGTACACTCTGCCTTCAATTCACAATTCGTTTTTGAATTATGTATGTTTGTAATGGATCACATAACCCAGGTATTCAGTGGTAACTTAGAAAAATGCTGCAGTGTGGATGTGGATGTTGTGGTTGGCTCCCATATCTGTGTGACAGCAGCTGGGATTGTTTGGATCAGTCTGTGGTAACAGGATGACAGGATTTCATGGAGTGGTCCATGCCACAAGAGGGAGCAGGCAGATGTGTGTAAGGAATGCTGCCAAACCCAGAGCACAGTGCCAGGGACACTTCACTGCTACTGAAGGAAGAAAGAAAGAAAGACTTGGATTAGTTTTCTATAATTTTACCAATGCGTTGCTAACATGAGGTAATATGTAAATCTCCCACTCTCATCAGAAGTCTACTTAAGGTCAGCTTGTTTTGTAAACCACAGATAGAGAGTTGGTGGAAGGGCAGGAAATTCCTGTTAAAAAGGTTAAAAGCCAAACCAAAGGGTTGCATCAGTAACAGAGTAGTGATGTGTCTGCCATGTGTGAAAAGCCCTCTGTGCCTGTCTGCAGAACAGCCTCACTTTCAGGGGAAAAAAAAATCACATTTCCCTTCTAATCTGGGTTCATTAGATTCCCCCTGGCCGTCCCCAGCAGCAGCCCAAAGGAAGCAGGTCCCAGAGCCTTGCCCTTCTCAGGAGCTGCAGGCAGACCCAGCCCTGAAAGCAAATCCTGTTCTGCACAAACCACCCTGTGCTTCCCCTCCCTTCTGATTCTCCTGCCAGGAAATCTGACTGGGGCACTTCTGTGCATCTCTGGCCCTCAGAGGTGGGGTAGAGTTTGTTTCTCTCATTGCAGGGTGCTTTGCATACCACAAAACTGTTTAAACAAATACTTTATGGAAGGAGCAGTTCTTTTTGTTAAAGACACAAATGTGAAATAGAGCCTACCTTCTAGCAATGCCTGCCAGCAGCTCTGCAATGCAAAAGGGTGCAGTTTTGTTCTTTGGGGTATACTATACTCAGAGTATTGAAAATCTTGCTGAACTGCAAAAGAATTGTCTCATTTTAGCAAAATACATATTTACTGTCATCTACTTAGCAAAAACTGCATGCTTACCTTATATCTCATCATGTGCATATGACTCAGTAATGGCATAATTTATATAGCAGTAAGAATCATATAATTACTTCCCATCTAAGTATTAATTATAATTGTGTCAGTCTTTGGAGTGTTGAATGATGATTACAGTTGAAAATTATTCAGTATATAGAGAAAATCCAAATGCACTTTTAATAATTTGGATGCTGCTTCCTTTAAAACACCATTATATATTTACTGTACTCAGCTTTACATATCCTTTAGTGGGGTTAGAAAATGAAGTCCATTTTCTCAGTGTAAAAAACTTTTTTTTTTTATTTTTTTGTATTTTAGTGAAAATGCCTCTAAGAAATTTCCTGGGGATGAGCCTGTGATATCTCTGCTCCCCTGCCACAGCTCCTTGGCTCCTGTCCCTAGTCCCAGAGGGATCCCAGGCTTGTGAATGCCCCAAGGGCTGGCTGCAGCTCCATCCCTGCTGTTGATGTGCTGGCAGTCACTTCTGCTTCCTGCTAGCACCCAGACTCACCCAGGGGGTTTCCATTAGACACAGAACTTAAAATGACTTTAAAATGTAGAGTGCAAACTAAGAGCTCAACTTTCCTGCAACAACACGTTTCAAAACAACACAGAAAAGGAGTTTTTCAAGGGAAAGTCCTAAGCAAAGCAAAGGGTTGAGCTCTCCTTGCTCTCTTGTGGGTTGTGTGTTCTCAGCCAGACACGCAGAAGCTTTCAGATAGGGAATGGGACTATTTCAGATGGGGAATGGGACTATTTCAGATGGGGAATGGGACTATTTCAGATGGGAATGGGACTATTTCAGATGGGACATGGGACTATTTCAGATGGGGAATGGGACTATTTCAGATGGGGAATGGGACTATTTCAGATGGGACATGGGACTATTTCAGATGGGGAATTGGACTTTCCAGGCAAAAATGAACAACAGGATCTGAACTGTATTTGAGGCTCCTTGGCCGCCTATTGCTGGATTTCAGGGCTGGCCTATAGTCTGCATATTGCAACTTTTTTTTTGCTGGGCTGTAAAAAGGAATGGGGGGAAGCAGATCTTTGTGTCCCCCAGGCGGCTCCTGCCCAGCTCGGGGTGACCGGACACAAGCTCAGGGGATGTGTTGTGTTTCAAACGCGTCTCCAGCCCTGGCAGCCTTGGCCAGCGGCCCCGGGAGGGGAAAAGGAGCAAGGGGAGCCCACGAGTGTCGGGGTCCCCGCTGCCCTGCCCGCCCCAGAGCCCGTTCCGGGACCCCTCGGTGCCACACTCGGGCTCCTCTGGCCGGGCTGCTGCAGGAGAGGCTCCGTGGGAGCCCCGAGTGCAGCCCCGGCCGTCCCTGGGCTGCTGCCGTGCCCTGACCCTGCTGTGCCTGAACTCCCAGCCTAGCTCTCAGTGCCCTGGCACACGGCTGGGAACCCTCGGACTCCCATCCGAGTGTCCTGGGCTCACTCGTTGGGTTCCTTTTCCAGGTCCCTTCTCTCAAAGTTGGGCTCAGAGCTGTTCTGTTCCTGCCCAGCGCAGTCTCTCATTTGCATCACACACAGTTTTGGAGGTCACCGTGGGCACACGGGAACACCCGGGCTCCTTACGGAACAAGACACTGCTTTGTGCCTGGAAGTGCAGCCGTGTGTGGGAATCGGCCTGAGGCGCCCTCTGGGATTCCTGTGCCGTCCCCTGGTTACAGCAGGGCCGTGAAGAACACGCAGCTCCAGCCTGCACAGCTGCACTGCAGCCTCTGCACTTCGGGGACCTGCTGCCACCTCTCCACCACTTGAGGATGGTTGCTTCTGAGCCTGCTTTGCAATGCTCTGGAAAGCCTGCTACCAAAGGAATAATGTGAATAGTAAAATAATATTATTCTTTTTTTCTGTTGCTTCTACATGACACTGATGATAATCTTTTCCTTTTTAGGCAGTGCTTTGCCTACAGAAACACATAGTTAGACAAAGAGTTATTTAAAAATGCTTTGTTTTCAATACACTGAATGAGATGTACTAGTGACACCTACAATGACAACAAAATGCTCTTCTTTTACCTTCTGTTCTAAAACATGCAAAGTGTCATAAAATCAACAAGTAGGCTTGACTGGATAACATCTCTCTTCTTTATGAGTGGCTGATTTCAATGGGTTTTGCAATGCTTCAAAAAGGTCAGATGCACTGCATGTCTGCTGCTCTTTTAAGCTGTGTGATGCCATGGAACACTTTGAAGCACAAACAGGGAAATTTAGGTAAACTTGCAAAATTCACTGTAAAAAAAAATCCCATTGTATCCCTGTTTAAAGATAGAAAATTGGTAAAACTTCCAGAGGTTTTGAAGGAAGGAGCCACTTTCATTGACAAGGTTTGGGGTCTGATGGCCAGTGGGAGAATGTTCCATGTTTCTGTTGGAGCAGGTGTGCTCACACCCCACTGTCCCGGATGGGGGAGCAGCCTCCGCACTGGGAGATCACCGAGATGGGCTGCTGCAAGTCCTGCAGCCTCACTGCAGAATGTGCAGCCTGTCCTGCAGTCCCAGCTGCTGCTTCCTCTTCCTGGCTGTTACAGATATTTATAGGTATTTCATTTCTTTGGCAAGGGTCCGTAAGGGAATATGGGGGGGGATCATCTGTGGGAATATATATTTGTGTCGCTCCTGGCCCCACACATTCGTCGTAGCTGAAAGAAAAAAAGAAATGTTCATTAGATTCCCAGGAAAAACGCCACAGTACATTATTTCAGCATAACAGAGGCAAGTAAAGTGAGAAGAAAACGAGTGTCTGGTGTTTTATTCCTCAGCTCACATCCTTGCTGACCCTGCCATGTCAGACACTCAAGAACGTAGCACTCAGAAGCACCCAGAGATAATCCCTGAGGTGCAGTGCCGAAGTGCAGTGCAGCCAGTGCTCACTCCTGGCCCGTTCCTGCCTGTCAGAGCCAGGTTAGAAAAGCGTGGGGGAAAGGAGGAGGTGCTGCTGTTTCAGTTGTGGAATGAGGTCTGGGGAGCTCGTGCTGGAGTCTCTAGCAGATGATTCCTCTGTGCTGTCTCTGGAGCTCAGCCAGCGCTGCCCGGGTGGGCAGTCGGGGTGGAAGGGGCAGCAGGATTCCTTGCTGAGCTGCAGAGCTGTGCTGGATAACCTGGACAGGCTCGTGCTGCTCACTCTGGGACTGGGCACAGATCCTGTTCCTCCAAAGGAGCAGCAGTGCAGGGCAGCTGGGCTTTCCATGGACAGCCAGCTTGGCTGCAGCCAGGATTTGTGGTTTTGTCTGTGCCCTGCACAAGAGGGAAACTGTTCCCTCCTGCCTCTGCCCTGTGCTCCCTGGCTACAGGCAGGAGAGATAAAGAGTCACAACATCATCATCTTAAATGGTACACCTGCTTTGTGGCTGCTACTTAACCATTCCAGGATCATTTGAAATCAAATCCTGAAGGGAATGTTTCCTGTCAAAAAAAAAATAAACAAACCTTTCCCTACTGAGTTAACCTGAAAAACATTTCTGCTGGAGCCAGACAAATTAAGAACCTATTTCCTCAGCTGCACTAACTGCAGAGCAATTAAGATCTGGGATATTTCCTGAAAACTGGGATATTGAGCATGTGTTTTCTCAGCAGACTGCAGGCACACACTGTGCCCCTGGACCTGTGTTACTGCCAGGCTAAACCGAGCTCCCAAACCCCAGGCTGGGTGATGGAAATGGTTCTTGGAGAAGGGAGAGGTAAGAAAGTGAAATCAGAGTGCTACATAACTAAACTCAAATATCCATGGGTGGTTTTCACCTCCATTTCATCTTACTTTTATATTCATCAGGACAATGGCATTAAATTCAGACTAGAAAATTTTGATTTCCCTATCAGAAAATAATATTTAAGACCCTAAGCCTGTTCTGAAAATCCTGAATAGGGCTGCTAGATATTTCAGAAAGTCCCAGCATGTTAGGAAATAGAATTGTTTTTTTTTTTTACAGCAAGTGGAAAAGATGTCGCTCCAGCCTCTACTGAACACACTGAGGCTTTCAAACATACATGGTAGTCTTTGAAAAGTTCTTAGACCTCAGTCAGAGATTGAGGAGCTGATGTCCTCCACTCTCCTTGAGCTCCATGAGGGAAAAGGAACAGCCACTTCTTGCAGGATTCCTATGAGCTGCATCTTTACTTAATTTACATTTTGCTGACCCAAAGCCCAGTGAATTTATTTCAAATCTCACCTCAGGTTTTGACTGACTTAATCAGGCTAACAGAGAGCTCTTACTGGGTCTGTTAGCACAGGGGGAAAGTTTCCATTCAGAAAAGCCCACAGTAAGTGAGTTTCAAGGTGGAAAATTTGGAATCCTTCTGCCAAGACACAAAAGGGAAGAAGCTTCTGGGAAATCTGGCACTGACCTAAAGGAAAAATGGGCACAGTGGGAACTGTTTCTTGCTGCTGTTACCTGATCATCTACAGATGATTCCTCTGCCTTGGGTTTAATTTGATGCCTTTCCTGGACCACAGCTCAGCTTTGTAGAACTGAACTGCAGGCTGGCATAAACAGGGAAATGATCCCTTGCGAAGGAGATTTTAAGGGTCAAGTAAATGGGTGTGAATTATGGTATTAAAGAGTTGGCATTTTAGTGTTTAATTTCAAATATCAATGTATTTGTGTTAGGGCATTTTATCCTTCATACATATGATGGATAAAAATAACAATCTTTTTCTCCAGAAGCAAGTAATGTTCTTCCCCCTCATTTTTTGCAATTAAGATCACATTTTAAAAACTGAGTAAGATAGTAAAAAACACATGCCAGACTTTCAATTAAACAGCTTTTTGGCAGCTTCACAGCTGTGCCTACAGATTGTTGTGGCCACAGAGAGAATTCCAAATAATTCAAATAGTTTTTGTAATATGTTTTTGTAATAGCTTTTTGTATTTTGTTATTAGTTTATGATCTTGATGTTCATTTCCTGTGTTCTTTTCTGTGCACAGGATCTTTGCCTGTAGAACTGACATTGCAAACAGCTCCTGCTCTGTTTCTGCAGATAAGGTTCCTAGCACTCCCTAATGAGGGCAGAATGAACATGAATTAAGGTCATAAAAGAGATTTCAACTTGATATTATTTCCTTCATTTCCAAATGTTTTGTAGGGTTTTAATTTTATTTTTTTGTTTGTTTGGGGTTTTTGTTTTTCCTTGTTTGTATTGAGGTGGGATTTTTTTCCCGTCTGTTTAACAGCTTTAGTACTTTGGTTGTGCTTTCTGACTGCTGTAATAGAGGCATTCCTGTAGGACAAATAATACATTATCAACTCTACAAGCAAGAATTTTCTTTTGCAGTCTCTCCTTCGAGGAGACTTTAATATGTAAACTTACATGATTTTACAAGATCTTTTTTATTAGAGAATCTAAGCAAGTATTTTAAGAAATAATACCCAGTTGGACAGGCACCCACTGTCCACGTGTGCTGGTGTTTGGAAAAACCATTCCTCAAAAGATTTGAAGGATTATTTAGAAAAAATTACAATAGCAATAATTTCTTGCAGGTAATTAGCAAATATTGATGTGAGGGATGCTGGACAAAATCCTTACTATCATTTTAAACCAAACCCTGATCCCCAATCTGGACCTAAACAGGCAAAAAGATTTGGGGGTGGTGGCAGGTGTGGGGAGGTTGGGAGGTTTGTCTTGGTTTGGTTTTTTATTTTATGTGTGTGTTTTTTCTGGGCCAGATTTCTCCTGGTTTGGCTGCCTCAGAAGCTCCCAGTTTAGTTGGGGGCACCAGGAACACCAGAGAAGTGGAAATGGGGGAGAGATGAAGAGGGGAGATCTGAGACTGCAGCTCACAGGCAGAAATCATCAAACTGCAACCTCAGGAACTGCTAAAGGAGTGATACCCACAAAGAGGTTTGTAATGTGTGTGTGTACTTATCTATGAGTGGGTATAGGTGCATTTATATGTTTGCATATAAATATTTATAAATATAATTAAGATAATATAAATATGTATAAACATGTATAAATATATAAATACAATATATAAACTATTTTATAAATATTATATATTAATATATTAATATATTATAATGCATTATATATTTTATAAATAAATAATATTATAAAATATAAATAAATATTTATAAATATCTATGTTTTGCAACTGACAATGCAGGACCATGAAGTGGAAAAACAAAAATACATGTTCCATCTTTTACAAAAGCCGCCACAATAGTTCCATTTTATCTGTCAGATTCACTTCTGTGAATATATTGGACATGTAAAAAGTAACTCAGGCTTGAAGTTCACTACAGCACTCACAGGAAAATCGTTTTAGACAGGAAAGCAAATGCCTTTGGAAAGTGTTGTGTTACAATACCATAAATAATGGAGCACAGGAACTCATTACACTGCATCTTGTGGATACTAGCCCTGAAAAAACCCTTGGCTGCAGTTCTTGTGGTGAATCCACTTTAATCCACTGCTTTCTAAAACTTGTATTATCTGGAGGTTCAGTATCAGCAGGCAGTGATGAGAAGGAAGGGGTGCTGACCATGAACTCTGCTGCTTTCTGCTTTGGTTTTTATTATTATATCTGCACAGCTGTTGTAGACACACTATTGATTTTTTAAGGGATAATTTCCCTAGGAAAAGCAAGGAAAGCTGATGTCTGTGAGCATCCTACTGCACATAAATGTGATTTGAAGAAAGGGGAATGGTCCTCCAAAACGGCAGCAGCTCTCCAAACTGAATAAGAAACAGCCAGCAGCAGTGAAAGCAGCAACACCTGATGGAAGGGAAGCACCAAGGGTTTCTAACCAGAAATCTGCAGTGCCATGCAGGGCAGCCAAAGCTTAAAGCTGTCAAATCTTTGATGACTGTGCTTAGAAAACAAGGAGTATTTCTCTCTGATTTCCCCATTGCCAGACTTTCTGTTGCATCTTGCAGCCAATATTTCCTTCACCTGCTCAGAATTCATTTCTGGAACAATTAAACTAAAGCCCTTTCTAGGAATGTGATCTTGTCAAATGGAAAACTTCCTCAAACATCAGCAGGTTCTGGTGACATGCAAGAATTGGTGGTGGTGTTTAGAATCCAGTTTGTGGATTAACTCCATGGGGAATTAATGGTCAGCCCTCCAAGCTGACCTTGTTGAGTGTGGCAGGAGGGGCAATAACTTTTTGAATTTGTTTGGTCTCATTGCAGTATTAGGATGGGATTGTTGCCAGGGAAAGCCCAAAGAGCTTCTTTAACTGGCTGTCACTCATAAACCAGGAGCCCCTCTCTGGGGCAGGAAGAAGGTTCTGCTGACAGAAATTTTTTAAGATGCAAATAACAAGTGAAAAAAGGCAGAGCTGGGAATGAAGAATTCTTTGTGCAATAGATGTCTCATGGTTCACTCATTTGTGGTACGTTCTGACTGCTAAAATTGCTCCTGTTGCACTGTTTCAAATTTCCTGGTGACCTGCTGGTGTTCTTTTGAAAATGGCAAACAGAACCCCTGAATGTGGAACATCCAAGTGCTGACAGGTTGGAGCTGTGACGAAACAGCACAGAGGATGTTTAGATGATGTTGTTACCTAACAGAAAAGCTGAAATTAGAACAATTGTGCTGTAACTCTCTACAAGAAGGTTCAGATGAAAAAAATAATGATATGTTTGATACCCATGTAGGCATGAGCTGAACTCTGCCTTCTGTGATGGCACAATTTGCTCACAGCCAGGTTTGTAGGAGAGCATCCTGGAAATCTGTCTAGGTTTCCTTTGAGGAATGTTTTCCTAGAATATATATTTTCTTTGGTGATTTATTATTACCATGAGGAAATGTATCAGTTTTGGCAGAAATGCTCCTCTAGTGACATATGTCATGAGCCAGGATATTTTCCTAGGTTTATTTTTGATCCTGACACTTTCAATTTGAGATATCAATTTGATATTTATATAAATATTTATTTTAATGTTTTTCAATAGTAAAACCCAAAGTATTGTTCAAGAAAACATCTAGGGCTTAAATAACTTAATCATTGAAGAGACAGGAAAGGTGGAATTCAGAATTTTTCTGTCTTTTTTTCTGTTCATAGTTATTTCTGGAATTTCCAATTCCTCAGAACTACAATAGGACACTTTGTGTTAATGAGCACTGAAAGGCTGCATGTTTGTTCTGCACTCTGTGTCAAGATAATCTTGAGGAAGTTATGACTTTGATGGATAAATATTAAAGAGGAAAAATGAAATTCAGTGTAAACTGTTTTCATGAGAAAATATTTCACATAAAATTTGAAACCAATATAATGCAGTTTCATCATAATTGTCCATCTTTAAATGATTGAAATAAATGTTTAAAATAAAACAAGTCATTTTAGGATGAAGATTTCATATGATATAATTCAGCCTGGCATAATTTTATACACAGTAAGAACAGCTTGGTCATCAGCAGTGTTTGGTCTCTGGATTTCTGTAAGCATTATACAGTAAAGGATGCTGGGTACTGGTTGAGTAACAAGAATCATTTAAGATAAATAAAAATTTGTAGCTTCCCAAGCCATGGAGTTAATCCACAAACTGGATTCTAAACACCACCACCAATTCTTGCATGTCACCAGAACCTGCTGATGTTTGAGGAAGTTTTCCATTTGACAAGATCACATTCCTAGAAAGGGCTTTAGCTGCCCTGCATGGCACTGCAGATTTCTGGTTAGAAACCCTTGGTGCTTCCCTTCCATCAGGTGTTGCTGCTTTCACTGCTGCTGGCTGTTTCTTATGCAGCAATAATTTGCACCTCCAGAATGGAACTGGGGCAGGTGTAAAGAGAGGCTGGTCAGAAGGTGCAGCCTCCCAGAGATATTTTTGATGACAGAAAGCAAAGGGAATTCTGTGCCTCAGCCTCCCAACACATAGGCTGAGGTGTGAGAGCATTTCTGACTACAAAGACAAGAAAAAAATAGAAAGGTGTGGATGTTTAAGAGGAATAGAAAAGTCAAGAAATAAACTCATAAAATGGCTGTAAACAAAGTTAAGCTTGAAATAAGAAGTTGGCCAGAATAATTGGGAATTTACTTGTTTTTATCCCTAATACTGATGAGGAACAGTGGTGGGATGTGAAGGGAGGGGCTTTAGAGTGTTTGGAATTTGGAGTTAAAGGAACTGAGAGTTTTAGCTCATGTCATGATATCTAATGGACTTAGAAACCTGTCATATTTCCAGTATTTTTTACTTACTAACTGAAAATCTCAGTGGGGCTATTGAAGTAAGAGCTGAACTTAACCCCAAATGTCTATCTCATGCTTTGCTGTCATTGTAATGTGGCAAAAGCTCCTCACTTGGTTTGCTCTCAGGAAAACAGGCCTTGGCAAAGGAATACAGCACAAGATAGCAAGATTTTATGTCAATTCCCTGAGAGCCTAATTCTGCCTTTCAAGAAAATCCAGGAGGCTGGCTTGGCTAACTTGCATCTTCAGAAGTGGAGGATGGGAAAGAATGTCTTAAAAAAGCAAGTCCCTTAAGTAGGACTATTTTAAAAATACCTATTTAAAGGGAAATTAGTGACTACTTTAATACAGGAGCATTTCCTTTTCCCATTTAAAAGTAATTTTAAAATTGATTTCCCCATTTAAACAATGCAGGCTGAACATGGCTGTTGAGAATACTGGGATTTATCAAGCCTAAACAAGATAATTTTCTCTAGAACAAATCCTGTGTAGATTAGGCAGGGTGAGCAGCTGAGGAAGAGTGAGCCCACAAACAAACCCTCACACAATGTAATTTAATATGAATACTGGGATAGAGGGGCTGAATGTTTTTTATCTTCGTGTGCCCTGTGGGGAACATTCAGTGTGAAGTATGGAGAGCATTTCTGTGGCTTCCATGAAAACCATTCCTGAAGGTAAATCCCTGCACCCCCCTGAGCAGTCATTCCTCAGGGATGTTCTGTGTTAGACACGAGTCTCAGATGCAAAAGGCAATAATCTTGGTTGCCTAAAGCTCTCTACATACACTGATATCCAATCACTAAGGAGTGAAAAAGCACTTATACAGTGGGGTGAGATGCATTTTCCCTGGACACAAGGTGGGAAGTTTATAAAATCCCTTTCCTGCTGTGAAATCTCCTCATTGCTTGGATTTTATTGGCTCTCCTAAAGAAAATGCAATAATTTTAAATTTACTTGGACTTTGCTTGGTACTGTAATTAAATCCATTTCAAACATGTGGGCTCAACTCATTTTTAACCAGCTTTCTTACTACATATTTGTAAGAAGATAATTAGCAATGCTCACTAGGAATGTGTTGCAAATAACTCAGCTCAGTGAACAAAAGCTCATGATTTTGTCTATAAAGATTTTATCCCCACAGTGCCAACAGCGTGATTTTATTCACACCAGCACAGTGAATGTTGAACAAAATGGCAAATATTTGATTTACAGGCTTTCCAGTGTTTCTTTCCAAGCCATATTGACCATGATGATAGGTAAGACGTGGCAGGGAGATTGTGCTTGTATTCTGTGTTGGTTGGATGTATTCAGTTTTCTCATGTGAGGGGATTAGAATTCTGTGGTTTGGAATTGTTGGGAGATCACTTGGACCATCTTTCTCAGACTGAGTTTCTTAGAAACTTTGCCATGTCTGGTGACACAGACTATGAAACATGAACTTCCAGCCCTGCTGCAAGTATCTGTACATATCAGAAATATGCTCTGAAATACAAACCCCTCATATTCTGAAAGTGTTTGGTTCATGCCCCCTGTATTTTGTTTTTCTATTTCCCATCTACACCCATGTAAAATCAATGTGACAGATGCTAGCACAGATCTGAGATTCATTAAAAAGCCATTAACTGTCCTAAAGGGATGTTTATGGATAGCAGCACTGTATATTTTGGGCTGTCAAAACAAATTGACCAAATGGCTTCTCTGTAACCATCCTGCAACTACAGCAGGCTAATGACAAAATTCCATGCCTGGCATCCCTCTAAATCTAATGCAAGAAAGGGGTTAGTGGAAGTGTCTGTGGGGACAATCAGATTGAGTCTCAAATGAAATTTGTGATTTAGAGATCAGGGCAAATATTAATATCCCAAGGCATTTTTCAAAGATTAATTTACCAATAACATTTTTTCTATAAATAGTGTTTTATATAAACAGTGTTATTTGACTTCCAGCTGGAGAGCAGGAAGTCAGGGCAGGCCTGAACAGGGAGCTCTTCCTCAGCCACAGACATGGGCACTGACTCTTCTGTTTCATCAGCCTTCCCCTTAAATCCCCTTTCCACTCGTTTTGTGTTTTAAAGCTCAGCTCTAAAATCTACCTAATCCATTCTAGACTAACCACCTCTTGGCCAAATAAAGGTGTTGTGCTTTCTACTGAATTTCTGGAGTGTGGTCTGGCAGGAATGGTGTGAGGAGCCCTGGGCTGCACACTCCTGGCTGCCTGCTGGGCTGCAGGTGGCCTTGCAGGCTCTGCCAGCACCAGGATAAAGAAAACTATCCTGGCAGCACCCACTGTTTTTAACTCACTGAACTCTCTCACTTCAAAGATTTTTAAAAGTTATTTACCAGTGCAGTTACTTTCCTTGCTGCTCTTCATTTCTGTTCTGCTGATGCCACAGCTGCATTATTAGCTTTTGGCCATGCTAGTTTAGCTTTAAATTACATCTTGCCCTCCAGGAATTAATAGGAGGAATTACATTCATTTAGGCAGTGCTGCGTTTCAGTAAGCCTACTCTTCAAAATATTATCATATGCAATGAGATTGATCCCAGGGAGTTAATATTTTAAATGCACAAGGTCAGGCATGTCTTATTTTTGCTTACAGACCATGTCTGACAGTCAGCTTTCAAATAATCTCCATGCTCTACTAATTAAAAATAGACACTGCAGTGTTATGCCATGCAGAAGAATATAAAGGAAGATGTACAGGAATTTTTCAGGCTTTACATAATACAGTAATTCAGACAGTGCCTCTCACCCAGTGCTTTTCTGAACAGTTACAATGGTCTGGAGAATGCAATAATAGCAAGTTTCAAATTCTCCATGTAGTTTGTTTTCAGCCATCTGCTTTCCCTGAAGTTCCCCAAGTTGTGTTGCTAAGATATAAAATTTAGTAAGATTTTGATGATTTGCCCAAGCAACTTTTTCTAGAATATTTAACTGCAGTAGCAGTGAGACAACAGCCACTGACAATGACCTTTGGACCTGTAATTACGATGAGCAGTGTTTTCCTGTGTGTGCAGAGTGGATCCTGGGCCCTCAGTCCATTCAGCCCAGCAGGGAATCCCTGCCCAGGAGAAGGCAGGGGCTGGAGAGCTTTATCTGTCCCAAAATGATTCTGAGAACAGGTAGGACACAAGATAATTAACCCTTGCCAGGCTTGTTACAGAAAAATGAGAATAATCTGTGCTATCCTGTGTCTCATATCTCCTTCAAACAGAACTCCAGAGTGATGGAAAAATCTTCCCTGTGCATGTTTCAAGCTGCAAATGGCAGCATCCTTTGGTATAATCCTTGATCTGTCTGCTAAAGAAATATATTGTCAGTTTGTTGTCAGGAATCTGGCCAGCTGCCCACTCCGAGTCTTGCTTGGGTGTCAGCTGGCTGCCTTTTATTAATAAAGACTCATGGGTGTGGGCCCAAAATCCAGCCTAAATTCCTAAGTGGGTTTATATGAAGTTCTACACATTTAGATACCATGCTCGGAGTAACTTTTCACATGTGAGCATTCTGCTAAAATATTTACACAATCCCTGAAAGCCCATTTGTTATATAGGATGCGTTGGTAATACATAACAGGCTGCTTGTAGAACATGCATAGAATAAATAAAGCAAAGGTCCTGGTGTGCTCACAGTGCTGAGTTGTTCTGTATCACAGTCAGAAAAGAGCTGGTCTTATTGTGGTTTAACTCAAACCAGAGTCTGCTTAAAAGGAAGAAAAAAAAAGAAATAGAAAGTGGGGGCATGGCTGTTCAACAGCTGTTTGTAAGGCACAGCACTAGAGAAAGCTTGCTGGGAGTAACTGAATTCCTTCATTTCTGGACCTCAAGGTGCCCAAAGTGCAGCTCCTGTGGCTCATGAGGCTCTTCCTGTACCCTGTGAATGTGGGCACACAATTTAGGAGCTGCTGTGTAATTTCTGGAATTTGTTTTTCTGTTTTTCTGTTTCCTCTGATCTGAACACTCTCAAGGTCAGTAATAAATGTAATGTGGAAGTTCTTGGGGTAAGTTTATTTTTGACTTCAAAACTTTGACTTGTAAATGCATTTCTTTCAAAGAAAGATGATTGTAAGTAATTCTACTTGTGTGTTTCATTAGTATGTCATCACTATGATAACTTTTAATGTGAATGTCACTGAATGAGAATTCCTGTCCACATCTTTATTTAGTAAAAATGTATTCTGCTAAGGAAAACTTGAACTTACACTGAAGCTAAACAAGGTCTGTCTGTATTCAGAGTTTGTGTGAGCTGAATTTTTGTGGGGGACTTTGCCAGTGCAGGACTGTAACCCTGAGAATTTCAGGCAAGTGCTTACCATGGAGGTGGATCAGGATACATGATGTGCACCTGAGAAAGTATATCCAGATAGGAGTCAAAATCACAGGCAGGGGGGAACTCCTCGCTGCAGGTGGATCTCAGCTCTGCAGAGGAGCCGCCGTGAGAGAAACCATCTGGAGCTGCAAAACAAGAATTAATATTGGCTGCTCTTCCCCTCTGTGCTGCATTCTCTGTCACTCTTTATGACACTGCCATACATCAGAAAACAAACCCTTTCTGGGTATTTTGGGACAATCAGTTTTCACAGGATATTCTTATTTCTTTAGGAGTAAATGAACACCACCTGTAGATGAACTGTGGTGATTCAGACTGTGGCACAGGGACTGCACCTTTAGGGCTGCCCCACAAGGCAGATGGAAGTTCCAAAGCTTTTCTTGTGCCTCAAAGGCTGAAAAGGAGTGTGAGTTTTACCATGTGCAGCTTCAGATGTTTGTGGGGTAACTGAATTTCCCAGCAGCTGCATCCATGGAAAGTTTGTTCTGGGAGGGGAGTGAAAGGAGGGGCAGGTGTTTGATTGCTGAGAAAGTGCTGTTCTCAATAAACCCTGACAAAAATGGGAACATCTGGAAAAGAGCAAGGAAAAATCATCCTGCTGCTTGCTTCAGGGATTTCTTAATGCTTCCATGCAAGAGCTTCCCAGCTCCATAAATATAAAGAGTTTAATGCTATTTTCTGTGTTAGAGGATAATGTGTGTGTGTGTGTGTCCATGTAATGTAGTGTGGCACAATATAGTTTAGGATTATTCTTCTGAATATCTCCCAAAATATGCTTTTCTTTTCCATTTCTATAGCATTGTTATTTCTAACAAGGAGTTGGAAAATTTTCCTTTCTGGTTTTGCCTGGCTCTAGGCTTTTTCAAAGAGATGAAATTACCAGAGTAGTAGATTTAACACAGTGATTAAAGCTTCATGGTCAGTATTTTACCATGCCAAAATATTGGGTCAAACAGTAACTCCAGTTTGAGTTGAACTACTTAATCCTCAATGTAGTTGCTGAAAATGAGGAAAATTGATGTTATTAATAGTAGACATTAGTTTTCTGGATTTTGTTTTTATTTTCCCTCTGTAGGTTGCCATGGGAGTTTGCATTTCAATTCCTTTGGACTAAACTTTTTTCTCAAAATATAGATGTTATTCACTTATCTGGATAAATATTTCTGCAAAAGCCAAAAAGAAATTATTCCTTGGTTCAAGGGGATAAACTGATCCTAGGAGATTTGTTTAGTTTAGACAGAAAAATTCCTGGTTCAAATAACTAAATGAAGTTCAGTGGACTCCAATGGATACTTAATTTACATCAGTGAAAACAAGATTTATGCCAATGCATTTTTATGTGGCTCACTATTACTGGCTTTTTTATATAAATAAAAACAAAACCCTCAATGATATGCACAGAACTGCACCCATAACAAACTGCAGGTAGAGGAACCTGCTCACAGAGGACGTGGTTTTTGATGGTCCACCATTTATCATTTGAATTTTTACTGTCTGAAGAATTACACAGTGACTTTTTAAACTGGTTTATTTTTTCCTTAAACAGAAATAATCTTCTGTCATTTCCTTGACAAAGTGGCTTCTTGTCAGCAAAGCCCAAAAGGGCTGAAAACATCCTCTAAAATTGCCTCCTTGATATTCCCAAATTATCTTTAAGGCTTTTTCTCATGTGTTGGTTTTGTTTCGTGGGTTTAATTTTGGTTAAGGGGGTAGGAATTGGCACCTTTTTGACTCTAACAATGATGACTATTGTAATGACACCCAAGTCATCAGTGACATTGTTAATGGTGGTGACAGATAATGATATTTGGGTGCCCTGTTCTGTTTCCAGGCAGGTGTTCACTTTTGCACTCAGACAAACACCATTTGCCCAGTGATTGTTGTAGGCTCGACTGAAACGACAACGGCTCTGCCTTTCCAAGAAATAGAAATTACTGTGCTAAGGCTGTTGGGGGATGTGAAGACGCAACAGAGAATAAATCTTCTCCCATACCAAGGGAAATAAACTGTTTAGGAGCTGCTGGCTGCGCTGGTTGGGTTCTGTGAACCATTTTCTATGGGCTGTGCAGTGGGAACACAGTCCCAGCACAGAGATGATTCTATGACACAGTCCCAGCACAGAGATGATTCCATGACACAGTGCCAGCACAGAGATGATGACATTACACACTCCCAGCACAGAGATGATTCTATGACACACTCCCAGCACAGAGATGATTCCATGACACAGTCCCAGCACAGAGATGATTCCATGACACAGTCCCAGCACAGAGATGATGCCATGACACAGTCCCAGCACACAGATGATGACATTACACACTCCCAGCACACAGATGATTCCATGACACCGTAATTTATCCCATTATTTCACTGCATTTCCCAGCCCTGCACACCGTGCCGGGTGCTCCCTGCCCCCGCTCCCCGCCTTCATTCCCTCACCGTCCGCAGCCTCCCTGGGCAGGTGCGGCTGGCCGAGCCGGCTGTCCTTGCGCAGGCTGCCCACCACGATGGTGGCACAGGACAGGGACAGCACCAGCCCGATGACCACCCCTGCCACCAGCAGTGGGGACACCAGCAGGCTGCTGTCACCGCCGTGCTCCGCGGGGCTGGGGAAGGCGCTGGACGGGCCGCTCTGGTTCGAGGCAAATGCTGTGCAGAGACAGAGAGAGAGAAAAGTGTCACAGGGGTTGCACAGAGCCTCAGACACTGCAGCAGCTCCTGCTCTGGGGAAAAGGCAGCTCTTGGACCGATTCCTGGGGCTGCAGGAACTGACTGCAGGGGGAACACAGCTCCCCTGTTCATTGGGAATATCCTGCTGGAGCGGTGCTGTGTGATCCACAACTCTGGTGGATTCTTCCTGCCGAGATGCTCTGTACCATGAACTGACTGATGCTGAAAGAACTGAAGTGCACAAGGAGGAAAGTGGAAATTCCAAAAGTGAGCTCCAAGAGGAACAGAGGAATTGCCTGTTGTTAGGGGTATAAGAAGGTTCCAGCATTTTGCAGAGAAAGTTTTGGGCAAGAATGAGCCAAAGGAGCATTTGTGGCACAGAGTTTCCTTTGGTTTGTGAGGAGACTCAGCATCCCAAGAAACTGATTTGTAGCGCAGGAAGAGACTCATCCAGAGTGGGATTGTTTGTTTGCAACTGCTTTACTCTGGTGAAAAAATAATAAAAAAATCGATAAATGTACTTTTGAGGTCAATAATAAATGTTCTTAAAAGAGAATAACTTCAGTGATTTATTGCCAAGTCAAACATCCTTTTGAGACAAGCCACAGAGACAGTATCAAAAGTTAAACAATAATATTTCCTTAGAGAATCAGCTGATAGTATGATTATACATGGGAATTAATTGCCCAGAGATGTATTTGTGGGGGATTGCATTGCCAATAAAGGGAAGGTAAATAGAAGACATTATGGGGAAAAGGATTCAGGATTTTAGCAGATAGAATACCCTCTCACCCCAAATTAAAACAAAAATTAAAACAAAACCTCCCATTAGTTACTCAGCATCAGTAAACCAAAATTTTATTGATGCAAAAAAATTGCTGGAGATGCCATATACCAAACTTGGCTGTCGAATCTGGCCTGGATATATTTTTATATCTGGCTGTGTGCCTCTTGAACAAATCCATAATTTATTTCCTGCTGAAATCAGGGCTAATAAAATTTTCTCTTTTGAGCATTCTGTGGAGTGAGTTTATGTTTTAGTGTTTAGTTTATGTTTTAGTGCTGTTTACAAGGATAGATGTTATCAGAGAGTTCTCAGCAATGTTTGCTCTTTTCCTTTGGGAGACACCACTCGATGATTTGCAGTCACAGTAAGTTTAGGAAGGAGGCAATGGCTCCAAGCCAGTGGATGTTCTCACTGGCTGATGCTTGAGACTGAGACAAGCAACCAGAAACATTCACACAAACCCAGGGGAATTAGCACTTAGTGGACTTCTGTACATTTTCTGGAAGCACTTGACTGTTGGCTGAGGATCTTTATAGGCATTTAGGACAGCCAGCCAAGAAATGTGCTGAGCTTTCACCAAGTACCTTGTGCCAAAAACCAGGACTGAATTTTCTGAGAATTAAACTGATGCTGTAGCATTAAATCAAAGGTTATGGACAAGTGTCCTACTTAATACTCATTGCAAAGAAGTTTTGGGTGTGGGATATGGGATTTGGGTTTGGGTGTGGGATATGTTTGGGGGGGGTATGGCCCTTGTGCTAGAACTCAAATTCCCAAAACTTTACAAAATTTTAATCACGTTTCTCATTTTTACAATTTTTAAACTATCTCTGTTGGTAATGTGTCCAACACACCCTCACTCACTTTCCATGGCCTTGTTTCTTCAGATTTTTCCAAATTCTGCCTTTGAGAGATGCAAATATCACAGGAGTGGCAGTTTAAATCCTGGCTGCAGGGATTAACACCTGATCTGCAAGTCGTGGCAGGAAATTTATTGGTGATTTTGGCTGACTTGCAAAGGTTAAAGAAGAATCAACTTTGTTGTCAGAATGATGAGAACATGAACCTGGGGTGTGAGGTTGCCCCACAAACTGTCAGGGTTGTGGTCATCAATTTAATATCAAATAGCACTGAAATGGAATTGGTGATAAATTGCTGTCAGGTGGGGAGGAAGGAGGCTGCGGTGTTTTCAGCTCTTTAAAAAATTAGGACAAATTCAGAATGATCCTCTAAACAGGAAGGGCCCGGCTAAGGTTATTTATCTTTTATTTTTTTCCCAGTTCTGGAAGCCAGCTGGAATATCCACACTGACTATTTGGGAGATTCCTGTGGTGCCACCCAGAGTGAGCACTGATATTTGGACCTGTTTTGCTTTATAGAAGTTTAACAGCTTCAAGAGACTTCATACAGAAAATACTCTCCTGCACTGGTGTTGAGCTGGTGTGGTTTTGTTCATTTTTCCACCACATTCTCAGGGCTTCCTTGGCTGTCCTAAGTCTTGTCTGTTTTATCTATTGTTTCTCACCAGCATGAATCTTTCTGGGGTTTTTTTTATGCTTTTAATTGAACTGAACCCATTCCCTCATATAGACAAGTTATAGTGCAATATTCCTTTTATTAGAAGGAATGAATGAGTCCCCTTAGCCCAGCTCCTAACACAAAATGTACTTAATCAACTTCTCCTGTGGCACCATTTTTAGTTTGACATTGTGAGTCTGATCCTCCAGACTTTACTACTGTGACAACAGCAGAATGCTGCATTGATATAATTTCTTTGGGTTTGAATTTTCTGGGGGAAAAAAAAAGAGATGTTTAAATTACTTCTGGCAAAAAAAACACATTATAAATTTTCTCCTCTTATTCAAAACCATCTTTTGATAAACTGCATTTCTTCATTAAAAAATAATATGGTTTTTCCTTCAGAATAGAAGTATCTGCAAATATATGTGAAGCCCACAAATACAACAGCACTAACAGAGTGCTAACACTTTTGTTTTGAGGTAAATTGTATCCTTTCCCATGAAACTGCAAATTATAAACAATACATACATAAATATGAATATATTTTATCTAATGCTCTAGGTATGAATTATGTTGGATGTACACAGCACGGCTTTTATCCACGATGGGAGCTGTGTAAATAACAAGAATCTGCACAACTGGCACAGGGCTGACAGAATACTGACTTCAGAGTGAGCACCAGGGCAAGATTGCCTGGACTGTCCATTCTGTGTCAGACAATAAATTAGCATTTTGAAGAACCCCTTAAATATCACAATATATTATTTTACTCAGTGCTCCTGCATCTCAACAGACCAGTTGGAAAGTAACTGAAGGAGGTATGGAACAGCCCAAGTTTTTGGGTGCATATTGTTCTTCCTCACTCCTGCTAACCTGTCTTTGAAGGGATGGTTGCCCCTTTCTAACTTGGTGATGGGGAAGTTTCAGCTGGGTCAGGTCCTGGCAGGGTGAAATGTCCTGGGAGCTTGGCTCTCCCAACATTCAGCCCTTTATTGGCTTCTCTCTTCCTCAGTGCCTTTCACCTGCTTGTACCTCAGATGAGAGAGACTGGAAGCACCTGCACATAAATGAGTCTCCTCTCCACACTGAGTTGAGTTTGGTGGTGCTGGGGTCTTGTTCTGTTTCCTTTTGTCCTGAAGGCACATCAGCTCTAGTGAGGCTGCAACGGCCTCTGGAATTGATGAGCTTTGAGATGATTTTAGAGCTGGATCCTGCTAAGATAACCAAAACTCTTTCCCTGGTTTCCAATGTATCATCTTAATATAGATGATAATTCATGCTATGACTGGTGGAGATAATGAGACATGGAGTGGTTTTGTTTCTCAGGCTGAAAGGTCATGACCAGCTCCTGAAGGAGTGCTGATGTGTTCTGGAAAGATTTTGTGTCTAGAATTGTCCACCTCTTCATCCCTGCCAGCCTGGGATTCTCCTTCCTCAGGGCAGGGTGGGCTTGGTGCTGACTCCCTGAACTAGAGCTGAAGCACATGGACAGAACAGGAGTATTCCTTGCACCCCCTGGGTCAGTGAATCTGTTTGGGATGGTGATCCAGCACCTCCCAGCACCCTTAAATGCACTGCAGTAACACAGGGTGCAGGACAGGGAAGGAGTAGTGGGGTCAGTTTAGGATGGTGCAGAGCACCCTTTGTAATCCTTCGGCCTTCAAAGAATTGCAGCAAAGCATCTCAAGCACCAAACCCATTTAAAGCACATTTCTGATATCCTTGCTTTCTCAGTCCCTTGGATATGCAGTCTCTTTATCCAGGAAGGTGAGTGACAGATGTCAGGAAGGAGCTGGGAGTACCCAGATACACAAAATCAGTGCAGTGATCCAAGATTTTGTTGATTCTGCCTTTATGAACAGTTCCTGCTTCAAGATGGTTTAGTCTGGCCAAGAGTGACTAGTTGGACCCTGCCCTTACTGCTGCCCTGGGAAATAAATCTCTGGAAATCGGTAGAAATTGCACTGCTTGTTTCTGTGGCACAGGAAAGGAGGAAGGGAGGTGCAGCACAGAAACAAGAAGGGAAAGGGTTTGGATCACAGGAGCATCCCTGCAGCCAGGGGCAGAGGGATGCACTCCAGCACTGAATACAAGGGCTCACAGGAGCTGAACCTTCAAATTGTCTCTGTTGGATTCAAAGCTATTCCATTGGATCCTGAAGAAGGCTGAAACTTCACTTAGGCTTGATAAATACCAGGGTGTCATCTGCTTATGGGACTAAAGAAAGCAGTGAGGGTGCTCAGAACAGGGCAGGTTATTTGTCCTTTAGCATTTTTCTTATTCTCTTGTAGAGAAGTTGAGAAATGAGTGGATGACCAGAACAGTCTGGGAAATGCCCTCTCTATAAAGCAGTTTTACAACAGCCATGCAAATAGTATGGGAAGAGGAATTTGCAGTTTAGGAGGCCCAGGAGCATGTTTGGTTCCCTCAAACACAGTTCTCCTGTTCTTTAGGCTTTTCTGCTTTCCACACAGAAAATTAAACTGCCTCTTGAGCTACAATGGATGTTCAATAATTACTCTGTAGGGAGTGCTCCAAGCCTTTATCTCTTCTTATCTTCTGGAATTGACACTTAGAAGTTATTTGATGAAATCAATGAATAAATACATTTTTCCTGTCAGTTGCTGCACCAATGACATTTGACCAGTTCCCAAAACAGATGATATTAATT